GACCTTGCACATCTGGCTCTGCAAACCCAGCCCCATAGCTGCCCCTGGATTCCCTCAGAGCCAGCTCACTGGCCATCTTCAGTGCGCCAGTTGCCCGTGGCTCACAGAATGTCCTTTCTACCAGATGCCAAGTTCTCACAGGGAGCTCTGGTCACCTCTTTCTTCCTGACCCTCTCTGGAGGAGCCTCAGGGCTCCCATTTGCTGATGGGTGATGGGTTGGGGCAGCTAGCTGGGCCACCCTGGATGGCAGCCTGGCCCTGTCCTGATCTTGCCAGATCTGCCTTCCCACCTTGCCCTGATGGCCTGGTACCCTGCCGCCCCTGACCCTCCTCTGCCTCGCACGTCCTGACCCTTCCTCCTCATCGGCTGCAGCTGGATTTGAGTCCCATCTTCCCACCATCACAGTGCTTCTCCCTACTCCTCTAGGGGCAAAGGTGCAACTGCTAGGGACCTGTAAAGGTGGCATTGAGACCACCACGTTGGACCTTCCTGATGACTGTCTCTTGCTCCACTTGGGGGGCCACAGGGTCACTACATTTATGGAACCTGAGGCCTGAAGCCCTTCTCTCTAAGCCTTCCAAGGGTAGTTGTCCCCCAGGAGGCTCCAGCTTAACAATTTGCCAGTTGACTTGTTGGACTTGGTCAGCTTGGTGGGCAAGCCATAAGCCCTAGCTGCTGGTCTGCACCAGGGAGAGGGTCAGCTGTGATGGTCACTGTGCAGAGCTTGTCACATCCTAACTTGATGCCTTGAACAGTTTTCTGTCTGGTCCTGGAAATGCACAAGTAGTGGCACTGTGAGTGGCAGGCCCCAGGCATTTCACCTGGACCTCCACGGCCGTCCTGGGGGACTGGGTGGTGTGGGGGAGAATGCAGGGACTTTTGGGTTGACCTTGGGCAAGACAGAAATCTTCCTGGTGAGCCATTGCAGAGGAAGAAGCTGTCCTTCCTCCCGTGTAACGGAGCACACTGCGGGCCTGAGAGGACTCATCATTTAATGGCGGGAAAGTGATCACAGCCGTTCAGTTGAAGTTCCCTCTTTTTTGTGGTTCTCGGGTTACTCTACTGAGGAAGCCCTGGCAGAAATCAAATTTGGATTTTAGCTCAATAATCAAGAGCTCTCAACAGATTTCCCTGGCTGCTACTCTTCCTGGCCACTCCTGTGAGACTCAGATCCTTGGGGGCTTTCTTTCTCACCCTCACCTGGCCAGTCACGAAGCACAGGGGCCTGCCTGTTAGTACAGTGGTCACGCTCAAGGCCACCAGAGTGGGACTGTAACTTTAAATCCTGCTTCCCTCTCTTGGTAGGTGTATGATTTTGAAATTTTTAAATTCAAGAATTTTAAATTCAAGAGCTTTTAAATTTTAAGAATTCTTTTCTTAACTATCTTTATGTATAAAATGAAATTAAATAGAGAACTACTTCAGTTTCCTAGAGCCACTGCCAGAAAGTACCCCGACCTGGTGCTGGGACCACAGACATCCGTTCTGGAGGTTGAAGACCAGGTCAGGGGGTCTGTGGGGCTGGTTTCTCCTGAGGTTGTTCCTCCCCCCGCCGGTGTGGCCTTTGCTGTGTCCTCACGTGCCCTGCGCTTACATGACCTTGGTGCCTCTGTGGGTCCAAACTTCCTCTTCTAAGGACACCAGAAAGATTGGCTCAGGGCCCCTGTGTGACCTCGTTTTACCTTAACTACTTTGTAAAGACCCCACCTCCACGTGCCGAGGTACTGGGGCTCCGCACCTCAGCACAGACATCTGGGGGCAATGCAGTTTGGCCCGTCACCCGTTCATCTTCCGCAGGGTGCTTCTAGACAAGACCCTGCTGTGACTACTCAGGGGGTCGGGCCTGTGCTCTCTGGGACAGCGGGGCACCCACGGGGGGTTTCACAGCACAGAGCCCGCCTGCTGCCCCTCCATTCTCAACCAGCTCTGCCCCAATGAGTCCCCCAGGTGGCCGGCTACCCAGGCACCCTCCTGTGGTGGCCTCCAGGGAGCACTTGCACTTGTGGTCCTGTTTGGGTGAGGCCACAGGCCTTGCCCAGGGAAAAGATGCAGAAGCAGCCAAGCCACAGATGTTTGGTCCAGCGACCAAATAGCATGTGATAAGTTCTTTGGGGTGGGCAGAAGACAGGGCAGTTTGACCCCCATATCCCTGCTTCTTGAGCCCCCAGAGGCAAAGCCACTCTCCGGTGAGCTTCCAATGAGTGAGAAACCTAATTTCTGAAGGGGACCTCGGGCGGCTCTGGTTTTCTGGTCTCCTGCCTGGGATGGACAGTTAGAATGGAAAGTTCTTTGGTGCGGTGGTGAATTAGGAAGCGGCTGGGGTGAGGGTTTGGGCCACCCTCAGCCAACCCCCTCCTTACATGATGCCTGCTGCTGGCAGAGAGGGGCAGGCTCTGTGTGGGCATGAACCCCCTGGAGCCCCAACTGCCGACCCAAACCCCATACTCGGCTTCCTGTGGAGTAAGCGGGTGTGTGGCTTGGGAAGCTCCCTTGGGTACATTGTGGGGCGACTGCTAATGTTACCGGGTCAGGAACAGGTGAGACAGAGGCTTATTCCAGTCTTCCCTGTGCTGCTTCCTAAGGCCTCGCGTAATTTCGCAGTGAGGAATTACAACATTTGGGAACCGTTTGTGTCAGTACTCTGCAGAGGAGAACAGAAGCCTCCACCAGAAGCCAGCTGGGGCGGGAATGGGCTCGGTGACCCACATGTAAAGACCCAGAGCAGTCTTCAAGGCCATGGTGACGGAGCCAGCCTGGCAAGGGTGACCTGGAAGGCGGGAGGTGAAAAGAATCGTCTTTGGCTCTGCTACTGGTGATGCATGAACATTTGAGTTCCTATCTGTGTATGCTTGGCACAAATGGGGCTAATGTCAACACACAGGGAACAGCGAAGGCTGAGGGCTGCCCCCCTCCAGTACCCTACCCTATTGAAAAGCACGTTCAGAACTGGACCTCATTAGACCTGCTTTGGCACAGCTGGGTTTTCTTGTTTCATGAGTTCAGCACTCATGTTTCCCTGAGTGGAAAGCGATAGGGACAATAATAGATTTTGCTTTATTTGAAGGAAGCCCAAATCATGCCTTCTTCTCGTTCCACTTCTGTGGGGTAGCAGCTCCTACCAGATGCATTACTATTAACATCAAAAAATGAGCTTGGCCTGACAGCGGTGGGGACACAGGACGTTTTAGAGGAACTTCCTGAGAGTTTTCCAGTTTGGGGACAAGGCTAGTGCAGGCTACCAAGATGTGACTGTGTGTGCCCTGCTCCAGAAACCCACAACCTAAATCAGGGGTGCCCAGGAGGACCTGTCCTGCTCTCTGTCCCAATCTGACAGCATGACCACAGCTGGGCTCCAAAAGCTCAGCCCAGGAGCCATGCATGCATGGCCTCTGAGATGCAGTTGAAAGGCGCTATGTGCACCATCAGCAAGGAGGGACATGTAAGTGTCACATTCAGAACTTTCCAGAGAAGCAGGGGGAAGCACCATCACAGCTCCTAAGGTATATTCCAGATTGGTTTTTGTGGAAAAGCTGGCATCATTTCTCATCTCTGCGGTTTGTTTGGAATCTTGGTTGTTATTACAAAAGCCACACATGCTCACTGTAACTGCCGACTGCCCGGGTGTTTGCCATGCCTGTGCCAACATGCTGGGTTGCACCACAGTGTTCTGCAAGTCAGACCCTGAGCACCCATGTGAGATGAGGGAAGGAGGGGGCTTCTATGATGGGGCTGTTCAGTGGCAGGACTTTGATTCTTCTTTGAGTTTTGCAGTTTGGATCATTGAAGAGAGGTGGGCAGGGACCCAGGGAAAGAGCAGGATGAGGAGGATCTGCAGCAGCTTAATTGGCCTCTGGGTGTACAGGGCTCCTGGATTCATTCTTTTGGCTTTAAGAAAAAAAAATGTTCGGGTATCTTATTTTAGCCTGGAAGAATGTCACGGGGAGTCATGCTCTGGGGTGGGGTAGGGGTAGAAAGTTTGGTAAGGAGATTTGCCAATGGGTGGACATTCAGGTCTCTGACTGCATTTTGTTCTGAAATTTTAGGCAAAAGGAGGTACTAGGTGGACTGGAGGAGACAGAGGGTGACAGAATCTGGCTTGAGAGGAGATTATTTGATGATACTGTGCTAATGACCGCTTGTTCATGGTGAATCTGAGAGTCCAGCAGCTGCGGCCAGTTTTCCATTTGACTTAGTTGCAAATATCAAGGGGGCAGAGTAAGAAGTAAAACTTTGCAGGCAGCCAGAGTACCCCTTGGAGTGAGGCACATTCCACCTCTCTGAATCTTTGTCCCCTGGGGGAAGTGCAGGAAGCACAGAGACCTTGGGAACCTCCCCACCAGCGAGGGCAGAGGTTGCCCTGAAGTAGGAGGTGCAGCGCAGTTGATGTGCAGAGGCAAGACAGACCAGAAGGAAGGGCAGAGGGGACTGCTGAGCGGCGTCCTTGACCAGGGTGGCCCTAGGTAGTAGATGGGGAGAAGCCAAGTGGACGGAGTTTCAGGAAGGGGCTTTGTGGAACCTGGAGTTGGGAGAGGAAAGGGCACAAGGGTGAGTTCAGCTTTGCAGAGGAGAGCACTTGAGGAGCTGGGGCCAGGGAGTTGGCCATCGGTCTCCACAGCTGGCCCTCTCTTCTGTGGACCCCTCCAAGAGCACAGGCTGCTGGGGACAGATTCGCCAGTGCTGGCTGCATGTTCACACGCAACAGGGTCCCCTAAGATAGAACACAGGCATGGCAAGTGTGGCCAAGGGCTCCATTCTCAGCTTCACAGCTGAGCAGCGGAGCTCCTGAAATTCCAAGCAGGGCTGTTGAGACTAAAGGTTGACCCCAGGCTGTCAGCGTAGGGAGCAGCGGGGGCTCCAAGTCCGGTTCCTGACTCTGTGTTTCTTTCTCCCTCCTCCTTTAGATCACGGTGTGTGTGGGCGTCTCCTCTGCCGGCAGCCCCGCTGTGCCCCACGGTTGATGTCGAGGTTTTGACTGTGTGGGTTTGTGTCTTTCCGGCAGGTGTCTCCTCTGTGACCTCCCTGATGTCCCTGGCTTGGGTGCTAGCCTCCTATCACAAGCTGCTGCGGGACTCCAGGGACGACAAGAAGAGCATGAGCTACAGAGGGGCCCTCGTCCACCTCTTCTGGCGCCTCTTCACCATCTCATCCCGAGTTATCTCTTTTGCCCTCTTTGCTTCCATCTTCCAGCTCTACTTCGGGATCTTCGTGGTGGTGCACTGGTGCGCCATGGCCTTCTGGATCATCCATGGCGGGACAGACTTCTGCATGTCCAAGTGGGAGGAGATCCTCTTCAACATGGTGGTAGGGATTGTGTACATTTTCTGCTGGTTTAACGTCAAGGAAGGGCGGACTCGATATCGAATGTTTGCATATTATACGATAGTCTTGACCGAGAATGCTGCCTTGACGTTCCTTTGGTATTTTTACAGAAACCCGGAGACCACTGACTCCTACGCGGTGCCAGCACTGTGTTGTGTCTTTGTGAGTTTTGTGGCTGGGATCGCACTGATGCTCTTATACTATGGCGTGCTGCATCCCATGGGGCCACGGGCTAAGGTCTTTGCCAGCTCCTGTTGTGCCGAGCTGCTCTGGGGCATCCCTTTGCCCCCCGATGTTGAGCCCATGGCACCTCAGACCCCTGGGTACCGGGGGACCCAGGTCACGCCCACCAGAGCCGTGACGGAACAACAGGAGGATCTCACGGCTGACACTTGCTTGCCCGTTTTCCAAGTGAGACCCATGGGGCCCGCTACCCCGTCGGGGCGTCCTTACCACCCAGAAGGGCCCCTCATTAAGATTGACATGCCAAGAAAGAGGTACCCAGCTTGGGATGCTCACTTTGTGGACAGGAGGCTGAGAAGGACTATTAACATCCTACAGTATGTCACACCCACGGCAGTAGGCATTCGCTATCGGGACGGGCCACTCCTCTATGAGTTGCTACAGTACGAGTCTTCACTCTAAGGGCACCTTGACCCAAGTTGAGAAGGGGACCTTAAGTTTGGTCTGCGGTCAATGCCGCCTGCAAGAAATATAACCCTCCCTTCCCCCAACACACAGAACCACCACACACCACCACCACCACCACCACGACCACCACCACCACCACCACCACCACCAGAGAATTAAGTCACGTCCCCTTCAGATAAGCTTTCTTTCCAGTCGCCGTATGTATACAAAGATATTCTCTATGTTTTGTAAGTAAAAACAAAAAGAAAACCTTTCTTTTGTTTTTTACACATAAGAAACAGTATTGAAAAATCCCACACTATGATTCCTGGGGTGGAGGAGGAGGCGTGGCCTCTGCTCCAAAAGAAAAAAAAGTTTTATACCTTACACCAAGTGTAGATCATTTCCGGGATTGGTGCTGATTGAAAGAACAAAACAAAACAAAAACAAACAAACAAACAAACAAATAAACAACCTTCAACTGCCTTATGCCCTTAGGTGCTGAGTTTCATTAAGTACTGTCACGTTTTCTCACGCAAAACTCTCTGGTGACTTTTGCACCAGGAGAGGAGAAATTTCAACAATCAAATGAAACAAATCTACAAACGAAACAAACAAACAAACAAATCCAACAATACAAAGCAATCATTCTTCCTATCTATCTGATTATTTGTATTGAGGAAAACAAATTTACCAAAAGCAAAGGCATAGAAACCCCTCCCTCCGTTTGGTTTCTCCCGATACTCTCCCGTCCCTGCCGCACTTCACTGAGCCTTCTAGGAGCCCAAGAGCCGTTTGGGTCTCAAATGGCTAGAAAAGCTGCTTGAAGGCTGACTATGTGCCATTTTAGCATTCACCTAGCAAGATGCATTTGTTTCCTGGTGAAAAGCAAAACAGAACAAAACAAAAAGCCACCCTACTAATGTAGTAAGGTCAAGAAATTCTAAAGCAAATCAGAGGAGACTTCCATATACGCCATCAAAAATAACCAGTAATAATAAAACTCAGCATAGTAGCAAAAAGAACGACATCAACTTAAAGGCACAATACTTAACCCGTGACTGGCAACACTGATCTCTTCCATCACTTTAAGGCTGAGAACGGTGCGCATTCACCCCATGCGACAGTGTGTAAGGCCTCTTCTGTTTCCATTCAGTGGGAAGCCTTAAACTGATCTGGAAAGAATTATTCATTTTTCATTTGTGCTTTTTTCTTTTTCTATTCTTTTTTTTAAACATAACACAAAGAGGAAAACTAGAACATATATATATGTGTGTGTGTATATATATGCATATATATATATATATACATACATAAAAAATCAAATTGTAATAACTGACCCATTTCAAAGACTGTTTGGTGCTTCTGTCATTGTGGTTGGCTGAAAATCATTCAGCTCACCTGGTGCATCTGGGTTGCATGGGAAATTTATGTGTTTTGTGTGTGTGTGTGTGTGCCCATAGCACGTGTGTGTGTGTGTATGTGTGTGTGTGTCCCTGTTGCAAGGTCTTGCCAGAAATACGCAAAGCTAATGTGAAGCAGATGCTGTTGTGACTTTGGAGGGGCAGCTCCAGGGGCCAGGGCTGGGTGGCAGGAGGCTGCCTGTGTGGAGGCCCCTCCCTGGAGAGTGGCCTCCACTAGCTGCAAAGGCTGGTGTTCGAGGTCGTGTTATTTGGGTGAGAATTTAAATCAACTATTGATTTTCTCATTGTATTGAGTTGATTTCTGGAGGTGTTGCAAGTATGTTCAACCATTTGTACAATTTTTATTTTTGAACTGTTATTCCTTTAAGGACTATTTCTGTTCTGGGGCATCATTTCAAATACCATTGTATCTCTACTTGGGCACAAAAAAAAAAAAAAAAAGGAAAAGAAAAATATCTTCACAAAAAAGATATATATAAGTATATACATGTGTGTGTGTATATATATATATGTGTGTATATACACACATACACACAATATTTTAAGTAAATACTGTTAGTCTTTGTTGTGTGTAATTGCATTTTTTTAAAAATCCAGATATAACTGGTTAGGGTGCAAGACCTCACATTGAACTATACTTAAGAGAAGTTCAAAAGTGAGGATTTTTTTTTGTTTGTGGAGTTGTCTTTTTAAAATTATGATTAAAAGAGGCTTCTCATTCTCACCCTCCGTGTTTATCTAAATTGTATGTACATATATATGCATATACATATATATATATGTATGGATTTATCAATTATGAAACCAAATGCCCCCTCCTTGGTTGGCCCCGCCTCCGTCTCATGTATTATCGCTAAACTTTGCAGCGTGTCCTCACGCCTCCCTAACACAGTGTCCCCCGGGGTCCTCCTGGTCCCCACTCTAGGAAGCAAGACAGACGGCACACTCAGGCTGTGGTGAAGACTGGCCGGGCCCTCGGCCGCCTCTGCCTGGGTGCCTGGCCCTGGCAGAGGTGCTGTCCTTGTCATTCTGCTCACTGCTGAGGCCCACTGCGTACTCTGCTGAGGCTGGAAGGCGAGGCCATTGGCGAGGCTCATTCCCTTTGGCTGGCTGGGTCCCGGCTCTTGTCTGCCCCAGGTCTGGGGCTCTGTGCACCCCTGGAGCAGGTCGCTGGGGCTGTCCTCACACACCTCCTGGGACCTCTGCCACTTCAGCTTGTCTGTCTATTCTTGGATACATTTCCTCTTTATTTCCCCATCATAGGTCTGATTTGCCACCTCTTCTGCCACTCCGCGTTTAGCACACTTGTGTGTATGTGTGTGTGTGCGTGTTCATGTTTACACGAAACTTAGAAAGGAAACTGGGGATGTCGCCCTGGAGCACCCACAGTTGGGAGGACAGCTTCCAGCTCAGGGAAGCATTAGGCCCTGGGACCAAGGAGGAGGCCACAGACATTTCACATTTCCTTGATTTCAGCCTCTATTGGACGGGGCTCTGTGAGTCTCCCTGCAATGGCATTCCCAGGTCCTCGCCGGAAACTTCCATCATGCCAATACTTCCCCCATGATGCAATTAATAATGTGCATCTGTGGGCCACAGCGGGGAAGCCAGTTGTGCTGAGACAGGAAAAGGAGGAGAAGTGAGCCGAGAGTGGGGAACGGAGGGAGTGAGGGAAGCAGAGACCATGAGCAGCGCGAGTTCTCCTCTGTCTCCACGTTATCTCCCCCAAGTCCCTCCCTTTCCGGTCCCAGGAAAACGGCTTCCTGCTTGATCCATGCATCGACTCCCCGGGGATCTCCTCCTGCCCAGCACCCTTCCCCTTCAGAGGGCTGCTGGCTCTTGGCCCTGAGCCTCCTGCGGGAATGCATACCCATTCTGTGCTTTGAGCCCACCCAGAAGACAGTCTCCCTGCTGGGGTGACTTAGGTCCTGAAAGCCCAGATCCTTAAGAGAGCGCTGCATCCCATGAGATATGGTGGCCTTGTCCCCTAGAAATCTGCTTTTAGTTTGCCACTTGCCTGGGTCTGTGATGACCTCCTTTTTATGGGCTGACAAGGTCCAGCCCATTCTGCCCCAGCTGCCTCCCATTGGGTCCCCCACAGTGTTTTTAAGATGAAATCTCTGACCCATTTCTTTCCCAAGACCCCCGATGACAAATAATCAACTCTTAACACTTAGCTCTGATATGAAATAAGCCTGTTGGTACCAGGAACTATAAAAAAAAATACGCTATATCCTTTCTGTCCTTATTGCCCCCATTAAATATGCCCACAAACACCCATATTCATTCCTTTAACTGCATAGAATATTTGGCCTTCTGTCCTAAGAAAGAGGTCCTGTCACCCCATCATTCGTGCTAGCTCTGCCTCCCTGCCCAGCTGGGTCTGCCTCCTCCCTGGGCCTCTGCATGAAAGAAACCTCAACTTGCTTAGATAACTTTGGTGTGATATTCCCTGAGCTCATTGTCACAGCCTGTGACATCCCAAGCAGAAGCTTCGTGTCTTGCAATGAGGGGAGCGAAGAGAGTCTAAGTCCACCAGATCAGCCCCAGCTGTTCTCACTTGCCCCAAAGTTTCTCTTCTCAGACATTCCTTTGCTCTGTCTGTCCAGAAGGTGTCTCCTTGCACTTCAGGTTCAGACTTGTCCCAAAAAGACAGGAACCAGGGAGCCTGTGGGGAACATGCACACCTTAAGCAGATGGGGATCCAGAACAGGACAGGTCCCACCTCTCTTGATTTACATATGCCACTGCTGTGACCTGGCCTCTGTGGGGGAAGACAGCATTTTCTGGTGGCCTGGAGATCCCGACACCCCAGCTCCCCATGCACAAAGTCACCCAGTTCTCAGTAATCCCTGTGGCCCCTCAACAGCCACCCAAGTCCCATGATGGCTAAAAACAGATCCTGTTTGACCATAAGGGTGATTCTACTGGCTGAGTGGCATCTCATGCCACAGGCACAAGCCTGATTCCTGAAGAGAAAAAGTTTCAGGTTTTTAAAAACGTCAAATTTTATCATGTTCTCTATTCTTCCTCCAGTTTCACAACTCCTGTCACCACGAGGTCATAGGAACCCAGGAAAAGGTGTCTGATGCCAACCTTCTCTGGAGCAGCTCCAGACAGTTGAGGTTCTTCTTCCTCACACACATCTACAGTCCCCTCACGTTGTGATGTGCTGGTTGACAGTGCTTCCCCTCCCTGTGCAACTCCTCCCACAGACGACTCAATGCTTCCAGACTTGAGCAAAGTGCTCTCTATCAGTTGCCTGGGGACAGAGGACGTGAGTGTGCAGCTCAGGGCCTCTAGCATGGAGGAAAGGTGTCCAATGCTAAACGAGCGAGGCTAGGGTGTATCCCGTGGCTTCCACACCCTCCTGTTCCTGGCTTTCTTTGATGGGAAAGTAACTTAGCTCTCATATGAGCCAGAGAGTGGCACTTTTTTTTTTTTCTTTTTTTTTTTTTTGGCCAAACTAGAAAAAATAAAATTATATATATATAAAACACTACCAGATTTGCTTTGGGGGGATAGGGATATAAGTTTGGAGGGTGTCAAGGGAAGAGAGCCCATTGCCCTTTCACTGAGATCTGAATGACATTCCCTGTGTGGACTAGGAAACTTCTAGGGAGGTCTAGAGGTGCTCAAGGGAGCCTTGGAAAAGATCATGCACAGGTAAAGGGGGAGGAGATGGGGGAGACCCCTGGGGAGCTGGGCCAGCTTTGCAGGGAGCCGTTCCACAGCCCTGGTTCTCCAGCATTTCCAGGTGAAGGACCCTGCAGCACAGGCCTCCTGTAGGGAGTGAGCATCCTCCCGGGTCAAACTCCTCGGGAGCTTCCTCTGGATCTAAGTCCATGTTCTTTTCTCCTTGCCCCACACAGGCCACTGTCATAGAAACAACATTCCACTCTCATCTAAGTTCAGTCTCCAGAGCACAGAAATAGCAATGGCCAGCCAATCACAGGTAGTAATCCCCTAAGCTTGCAAGAGGAGGGTCCCTGATTATCCTAAATGAATGTGTGCCTGTCCCAACTTCAAAACAGTATAAATGACAAAAAGCAACTCTGCCCTCGCAGAGACTCTCCCTGGGCCCCTCCCTGGGAAAAGGAGATGCTTCCTTTCACTCTTGCAGTTGTACCACAGAGCCTCGCTCTCGCGCATCCTTAGCTGTCCTAAAGGCTTCATTTCTTGCTCAGAACGCTGCATCTAGTGCTATTGGCCAAATACCAAAAGACACTGCCTTGGTCCAGTCACAGCTTCTCCCCTGCCCGCCTGGTTCTGTCTGCCTTACTTGACCCCCCAGGCACCATCTGCTTCTTCTTGCTCCCTGTGCCTTTCCTGCGGTGGCTGGCAGCTCTGTTCTGGAGCCAAACATTGCGAGTGCTATTAATGGAAGCTCCTGAGGGCAGCAGACGGACCACAGTAGGAGTTCCCCCTTCTCCAGGCCAACACCTTGTGTCAAGGGCTAAGAATAGACCACAGCAGACACGAGCAGGCAGGACCCAGGGACACCTGCCCCGGGCCGCCCGGTCACATGCAATGCGCAGACCCAAGTAGGAAACACTGCTTTTGCAAATCCTCAAGGGGGAATCCCAAGACTCCACATGAAACTGAAGTCAGTCAGCAATTCAGTGCTCTGAAGAGTCATCCTCAAACCACCAGAGCAGTGGTATTTATCGTTTCCCTTTGGTATAGTTCCAACTGGGAACTGGGTGACCATCCGTCTATAAGCGACCTTTGGCCATCTGTAATGGTGGATGCAGACAGGCATTATGGGTGAACTCCAGTCCATCTGCAGCCCAGCTGTGGGGTCCTCAGGCTCAAGTGGGCCTGGGGACTTTAGCTCCACAGCTCCTAGGCGCTCTTCTTAGACCCAGAAGGATCAGGAAATGCCACAGGCTGATTCAGGGGCCCCACTGTGATCACGGACAACTCACTTCACCTCTCGGTGCCTTGGTTTCTCCATCTGCAAAGTGGAGGGAAAGCAGGCTGACCTCTGCTTTCTCTCCTGCTCAGGGATGCTGCGAGGATTCAATGTTGCCTGTAGCAAAGGTGCTGTATCAGGAAGAGTGGCGACCTCGTTCCTCAGGAAGTGAGGAGGAGAGGGGTTTCCAGGTACACTGGCACCCAGGAGCCCACAGATGAGCGGGAAGGTCGTGTGGACAGGGAGTCTCACATCCTTGTAGTCCTTAGAAACTTCACAGCACTGTGAACCTAGTACAGTGATGCCAGTCAGGTGACCCCAACTCACCTGGCTCAAGCCGGCCACTTGTAATTCTTAAACCAAATCTCCTAATGTTAATTTTTCCTAAAGGACCAGATAATACATGGGAGTGTCAAGGTGAAAACTGATATTCCTTGAGCTTTGGGCAGACAAGAGAAGGGGTGAAGGGGTGCCTGGAGATTGTTTCTAAGCGGTTGGAGGCTCTCCTGGAGGTATCTCTCACCTTTGCTCTAAACCTTGAGGCTCACCTCACCCAATGGACTCACCTTCTCTTCCCCTCTCTGCAGAGTACCGAAAACAAAACTTTGCTTTTAAACAATCATTCCATCCACCAAAAATGTGGGTCCCCGTGCGGTTCCTCATCACTCCCTGGTGTGCTGTTGAGTGCAGCCTTCGGGCGGAGGTCCAGAGTCAAGCGGGGCTGGGGAATATCACAAGTTTTTCTTTTTCAAATTCAGGGTATTTTTTTTCCCTCATAATTTGCAGTTGGATTTCATTTTCTTTCCTTTTTACTATGGTTTGACTGTTATCATTTCAACTACCAAGATACACTTTGAGCAAGAAAACAGACTCATCCTAAGAACCTCTGTGTTCTTCTTAGGATTAACAGAGTGAGGGCAGGTGGGAGCTACAGAGGACACTGGCACCCAGGGGTGCCAGCAGTGACACTGATTTTCTATTGACACTGAAAAACCTTAGAAAATAAAATTGTAGAAGCTTCAGTGGATCAGTCAACCTGGCCCTGGCCAGGTATATTCTGATCTAGAAATTCTCACCAAAAAGAAAAGTCACATCCTCAAACTATCCCACAGGAATAAAGCACCCACAGGGCAGGTCTCAGTTGTTGCTGCCAAATCCTCCTGCCCTCGCCTGGGGAGCCCTGGCCAGAACTCTTCTCCCACCTGCTCTGACCCTGATCCACAAGGTTAATGTCGTCGTGACCAGGTCCAGGGACCCGGTCATGGCTTGAAATTCATTAATGACTTCCATTTGATTTTGTGTCTGATTGTTCTGTGGCTCGCCAAATCCTACTGGGGTTGTTAATTTCCACAAGGTATTTCTGGTGGTCCACAAGACCTCAGACTCAGTTCTGCTCTCACAGCACCCCCTTGTGACTGGTGAACGGACTGTACTGCATTTGTGATGGGCACTTTAATGATGGTCATGTGGAGCCACGGGGACCTGTGCGTGTGCCTCAGTAGATGGCAGAAAGAGTGACAAGGGACAGGAAGCTTCCATAGGAGGGAGCATGTGGAAGAAAACATTAGCCACCAGCTAGTCAGTCCTTCCTCACTCTCTGGGGCAGAGATAGCAAAAGCATATTCTTTTCAAACAGAGAAAATTGATTTTACAGAGTGACATACATAAGCATTTTTTAAAACAAAAATTTCAGAGGAAGCAGCTAAAGAAAGGAGGAGGCACAGTCTTATGAACAGATCATGTCTTTGAAAGTTAAAAAAAAAAAAAAAAAATCCAGGTCTACCCTGCTGCAGACCTGCCTAAGTCAAGTCACTCTGGGGCCAATTTCTCTTTCTGTGAAATGAGAAGAATATTGCTTACCTACCTCACAGGGGTGTTGTGAGGATAAAGTAATTAATATCTGGTAGAGTGTTTTGAGAGCAAAAGTGTTTTGGTCATCAAGTTTACTTCCTATTTAAAATTCTTTTGAACTTTAATTGAGCACCATGCTCGGTGCAACGGAGGCATAGGAATTAATCCCTCCACATTCTTTGAATTAAAGATAATTTAAAGAGATAACAAGAGGGCAGAATAGCAGAGTTGTCTCCGTGAGGCATGAAAGGTATTCTTTCTGTCCCAGAAAGACTACTCTCCTTTCCATCCCAAGTATTGGGGCAAGAAGGAAGGGTTTTAAATCCTTTAATTTCCATCAGCGAATGCTCTTCTCAGAAGCAAATACTGCGGGAAAGTGAAGGCAAATGGCAGAGAGCGCTCCCTGTGACCAGCACATAGGGTCGTTATTCCTCCTGAGCTCCGCCGCAGCCTGGCCACAGCCTTCATCATCCCTCTCGGACTCCGAGAACAATTTGCTTCTGCCTCCTGCACAGCGGGTACTTTGCGGTTTGATGGTTTCCTTGGAAAGTCTGGTACACTGTTTGCTGGAAAGTCTTGGCTTCCAAAGACAAGGGTCTTTACTGGGAAACAAATCAAAACACACGACTGGTTTTTGTCTGTTTTTGGTGGGAGGAGTTTTCAATTTCTTAGCTGCCTCACATAAAACTCAGCCTTTTTAAATTTCTCATTTGTTTTTCCATACGCAGAAAGTTTTTTGCTTCCCAAACATTCAACAAAGCAAATATGGATTCTAAAATATTTGAAAATATAGCACATCTCAGATTTGCTGGAGAGTGCTGTGCCTGGCATTCATTAGTTTCTGCAAAGAGCCAAACCATCCCCTGAGCTGAGGAGGTGGGGACTCCAGGCCCAAATCAAAGCTTCCTAGAGGTACTGCCCAAGCTTTGGGAACGCTCTTTCAGTGTCACAAGCTGTCCCTGAGTCCTCAGAAATCCTCCCATCATGAAAGAACCTCCTCAGAATCCAGCATGGGCTTCCTTGGTGTAGCAGAACCAGAGTTAAACCACTTGTTATTTTAAAAATCATTTTACGGTACCTGCCTTTAAGGACAGAAGAGAATTCTTTTCTTTCAGAGGGAAGAAGGGACAAAGAGAAAGGGAAGGTTAATTGATTTTAAAAATAGGCCCTTTTGTTGCAAGAAGAGACTTGAGACGCAGAGGTCCAACTTCCCTCTATCCTGCACTAGGACTGGGGAGGTCCAGGGTGAGTTTCCTTAGGCCCTCAAGGTAGTGCTGAGACCTCCTGTCCTTTGCCTTTTAACCTCAGGCCCAAGGAAGGGGTGGCTTCTGCTCAGTGCTGCTGACTTACCCCAGACTTCATGAGTATCCCCGCGGCTTCTCTGCCCTTCTCTAACCTGCAGTGACCACAGCTCCCAACCCTGGTGTTGATTTGTTGGTTGTAAAAGGCTGTCCTCTGAGCAGGCATCCTCCTGTGCACAGGCTTCATTCAGACCAGGCCTGTTTGCTCCACCACGACCCTGTACCCTTCCGTTTGCCTTGATACCACTACTGCTGCACGCTTCTGCCAAATACATCATGTCACCCAAGGAGCCATTGCCATCGGCCCCGTCTGCCAAAGTCCAGCACAGGTGCCGTTTCTTCCTTTCTTTACATCTTTAAAAGGCGTGCCCCTGGGTCCTGGAAAAGATCTTTCAGAGAGGAAAGTAGGAAAGCAGGACAGATGGTGTGACTTACGTAGCCAGGTCACTCACCAATGACCCATGAAGCTCACGTGGCCCATCAAGCGAAAACACAAAGTTTCATGACCCCTGGGCTATTTCCTCAAAGTAGCAACCACACATCCCCTCTGCCTCCCTGGCCTGTGGCATCTGCTTCTTGTTGATGGCTTCAGTTGTACTTGTTTGAAATCATATTGGTTATGAAATGCCCGAGATGGGGAAGAGAGGAAAATGTGCATGCTGAGAACCTCGTAAGTTAGGAGGTGATCTGAGATGATGAAATTGGCACAAATGGTGCAGAATTGAGGAAGGCATGACCATATAACTGTATTCTAAGCTTATTGATCATGTCAAGGTACATAAACATGCTAATCCTGGACATATATATGTGCATATATGTGTACACATAAATATATATATATATATATATATATATTTCTTCAAGGACTTTAAGAGCTTGATGAGAAAGAATGTTCTGATATTTAGGGCTCCTGCCAGACTTGGAATAGACCTGGCCTAGATGGATTATTTTTTCTCCCAGACACAAGGTCATGAAGAAACCCCTGGGCTAGTAAATGTCTTTATTTCCTCAATCTGTGACAGAAAGCCAGTGGCAGGGTTAACTGGCATTTAAAAGACTCTCTCCAGTTGCTCTAATATCCTCAGCAGGCTCACAGACCAACAAGGGAGCCCTAGGAAACAGCTTTCTAAACAACTCCCTGTTTTCTGGAATTCCCATCACCAAGGAGCCCTGGCCCTTAGCAGGGCAGCAATAGAGGAGATATGGCTCCAAGCTGGGCTGGTGTTAGATATTCTTTGGCTGCCAGAGTCTTGGGCTGCTGACCTGTGTGCCTACACAATTAGAATCTGCAGCTGAGACTGAAGCTAGCCCATGAAGCCCGATAAGAACTTGGTGAAGGTGACTCCTTGCCTAAATGCAAAATCCCCCTGGCAACTCTGATCAATGGGAGACATTTCTGAGCAATTGCTCCATGGGAGGCAGAAATGATTTTCAGCAGGGCCACACATTTCCCCATTGCAAAGGCAACAAATCTGAGGTTTCAACAGGTTTCACAAGCACAGATACATGTGGCATGAATTAGCCCCTAGTGTCCCCTCCTGCCCTGGTGATAGAATCAGCATGACGGAGATGACGGGACATTTGGTTGGAAGAACTGTTCTTCAGGAAGGAACAGAATGTTCCAGTGACCAGAGGGAAAAGATGTTCATGCAGCAGAGTGTTTGGAGCCCTGAGTCTTTTCTTGAGCCAAATCGGATTCCAGGGCAGCCATGGCAGTGATGTGGTCCCTGTTGGAGGAGCACTGGAGCTAGGCTGATGCTTGCTAAGATTGCCACCGCCACCAAAGTCCTGGTGTTGGTACGAGAAGACCACGGGGTCTGTCCCACATCCCTAGCAACCTTTCCAGCCTAGATTCCCAGGAGCAGCTTCTGGGGCCCTCCTCTAACCTGTTACTTGTGCAGTTCCTGTTTCCTGACACCTGCTGTGTGGCCATGCAGCCGGCCAGAACCAGCCATCACGCTCATTACTGTCTTCCCTTGCCTGGTCCCAGCTGTCCTGCAGTAGCCAAGCATCCCCTGGGCAGCAAAGTGACTCTGTGCTTTCACCATCCAAATACCTTCCAAGCTGGGAACATTCTTAGATCCCTTTGTTCCCAGCCCAACCCCAGACCCAACAGAATGGATTATGTTCCCATGGTTTTCTCTTGCATGGGCTCTTTGGTGGTGAAGACTGTTTTCAGGAAACCCACTTTCCTGTTGGGTTGCAGAAAAGTAGCTTCTTGGAGTACTTATGAGAAGACAAGAGGGGAGCCCTGGGGACAGAGAGCAGCGCTACCCTCCTGTACAGCTTTATTCTTTTACTATTTTTTTTAAAAAACAACAGATTTGTTAAGAGAGAGAGAGAGAGAGAGAGAGAGAGAGAGAGAAGGAATGGAAGAAGAAGGAGACAGGAGAGAGGAAAAAAAGGAAATGAGCTTCCTGAGGTATCTCTGGGAACCCTGGTGCCATCAGGGTGCCTCTGTGGTTTGCTCTTCAAAGCAAATGCATTTCCTTTCAGCAGCTGAGTTCCCCAGCATTTTCTAGCTCCCTTCTGCCTCGTCCTGGCTCCTGCCTCCCTGACTCCACCCTGCATCGTGTTCTGCCCCCCTTGAGCAGGGCTCAGAAGAGAAGAGCCCCGTCTCTGCTCAGAACCACGGTTGCTGGGGAGGGCGCCTGACACTTGGTTTTTCTTGTCTACTCTCCCACCAGTCCTCCTTTTTCGTTTTAACCTAATGAGGCTGCTGCTGCTAGCTGACTCTTCAGAGCAAAGCCAGTTGAACTTCTCAGGTAATGCAAAGCCTTGAATACATATAGTTTGTAATTTTCCCTAAAGGGCTGGCACAGTTCTGCAGCTGCTCCTTCCCACTCTGAGCTTTGTCTATCTGAGAAATGGGGTTGTGTGTATGTTCCTGGGTTTCCAGGAAGTAGGGTCATGAGCACCATTAATTTTGAGATTCATGTATTTACCGATACCGCCCCCCCCCCCCACCACACACACATTAGTAATCAGGCATGAATCCTTAAAGGCAAGTTTCTAGAACTTGGCCATGCCAAACCAACAGCAGATGTCCTGTCCCCACCTTTGGAATTTCCAAGAGGCAGGCAATTTTTTGAAGAACCAACTCACCCTGTGTCTAGTCAGGAATTTTCCTTCTTCTCTTTTCCTGCGTGTTTCTGTTGGTCATCATTGCTTCTTACATCTCGAGAAGAGCTGTGTCGGGTAGAATATAGCTTCCCAAGCTCAGACCAGGCCTTCCTTTACTCTTTAGTTTTCTGGTATTAAAAATTAACTTACAGCAGACTCCAGGCGAAGGACAAAGTCTATCAGCTGAGCCTCCCAAACACGCAGGTCCATGGCTGTTACCCAGTTTGGAGAAGGTCTGTGTGAAAGCAGCTTAGTCAATGGTGCAGGAGAGACCTAGGCAGTAACCTTGCTCCTCGCCACGCAGGAATGGCACAGGTGCTGCTGTGTGCCACCTGTGAGGGGACAAGGAGATCCCTAAGAAAGGTATGAGGAAGGTGAGATAGGCTACATGACTAATGCACCCTTTGGAGGGAAAAAGAAACCCTGAGTCTTCTTACATAATTTAACTAAGTACCTATTATCTGACAAACATAGTCCTTGATCATGGACAAAGCAAAATGGGAAGAAAAAATCAAATGATGACTCCGAAGGTCTAAAGACTGAAAAGGAAATCCCCACATGTCTTAATGGCATAGTTTAAAGCCTCCCCATGGGAAATCATTAAATCTGAGCTCTATGATCTTGGGTCATTATCAATTTTCTTGTTTCCAAACGTCTCTTTCAGTTCTAAATACTCTGGGCATTGCAACTAAGATAGGAACGGAAAGTGCTCTAACGCAAGGGAGAGTGTGATGATCACACAGAGGCACAAGCAAATGCTGTGGAGCCCAGAGCAGACACTTGCCCTTGAAAATGAGGGGAGATGGGAGGAGGCAGCACTGAGCTCAGCTGTCCTTTTCTCCCATCTCCTGGGTGCCACAGACACCCTCCCCTGGCCTCCCTCAGGGCTCAGTACTGAGAGCGAATGGAGCATGGGATTCCCTTCTCTGCTCTGGTGATCAGAAGCAGCAGCAGCAGCAGCTCAGAGCTGTGCTTTCCCTTTGAGGCTCTACCTGCTGTGATCAGGAACACCTGGAACCCAGGTCAGAAGAGAGGAGGGGGCTTGAGGCCAGCAGCACACGTCCTGCCAGGAGGAAGCTCTAGAAACTCCTGGAAGGAGGAAATGGGAGAGACAGTTTTGTAAAGCCACAGGCAGACAGAGCCCCTGGCACACCAGAACTGTTAGTGCAGGAGGCCCCGGGTAGTGAAGAGCATCAGAAGGGCCTGGAGAAAGGGATGAGGGGGGCTGGGGCTGGGGCTCAGCAGGAGAGCGCTCGCCTAGCACGCATGAGGCCCTGGGTTGGATCCTCAGCACCACATAAAAATAAATAAATAAAAATAAAGGTACTGTGTCCAACTACAACTAAAAAAATAAATATTAAAAAAAGGGTGGGGATGAGGGACAGATGGCTTTTCCTGTCTCATGAAGGTACGAGAGGAGGTAGGTCCCTTGCAACGGGAGGACTCTTCTGGCAGGAGCCTTATGTTTGTCCCTGCTGTCCATTCCCTGAATTAGGCTTGGATAAATATTCCAGAATGTTGGAAAGGGATAGGAATCATTCATTTTCCTTCCATTAGCAGGAACATCACTTTTGGTATAGACAAGCATCTGCATGTGAAAACCATTAAAGCAAGAGACTCAGCTCTAGGAGCCAGAAGGGAGAGCAAGAATTCCATTTAAATAAATGCACTGCAGAGTCTGTGGTGTCAAACTCCTGCTGTGCCCAGCTTCTGGGAAGAGATGTTCCTGTGCAGGGAGCCATCTTGAATTGGTCCTGGGCATGTCTTGTCTTGTCACCATGGGCTTGGACAGTGGAAAGCAAGTCCTAGGATCCCGTGGGTCACACCAGCAGGGCCGGTAGATTTCCTTTTCCTAACCCAAATGCAGATCCAGGCCAGGACAGTGACAGGACAGAACTCTGCACTCCCCGCCCCCCACCCCCAGATCTTCTTGCAGCCACACAGGCTCCCATTGCCCTACACAGTGCAGTTCCCCACCCAGAGCGAGAGACACAGGAAGGGATATTTCAAGTCTGGCAAGTATGCTCAGAATCATTAAAATTTAATCTACTCCACAATCCTGTCATGGTTTGCCAGCAGCACACACAATTCTTGGTGCTCCAGGGGCCCAATGACTGTCATTTTCTTGGCCAAATTCTGAGGATGGAGTAATGTTAGATAGTCCAAGTCAACATGCATGGTTCTCAGCTCTGTGGACAGACGTGGACCTCTGTCCCTCCTCATTAATCTAGACCTGGTGCTATTTGTGGCAAATTGTGCCTATAGATGCAGTTTCCCTCATTCCCCCTGCCCCATGCATTACAACCAAGTAATTATGTTAGGAAAACAGATTTCCATGTAGGTCTTTTCCCAGCACAAGATTTTTGTTCTGTTTTTTAGAAGGGCTTGGTTTCTGGTGTCTAAGACCCTTGTTTCTTTTTAGAAACTGGAATATTTTTCCTTTTCTATAAGCCAAAAAGAAAATTGCATTAAAAGATCAACATCTGGCTCTTTCTTCCCTCTCTCCCTGTTGAGCTGGAATAGACAGATGTCCATGGGCTGAGAGCTTCTGAATCAATGGCTCCAGGGGCCTTGCCAAGGATGAAAGACTTCTGTCCCCCACCATGGCGAGGTCAGGGCGGTGACGCAGACAATTTCACATCTCGAAACCTTGTGGTGCCTTTTCCTGTGGTGCTTTTTGTCGTGTTGACTCCACCAGGGCAGCCACTTGCAGCAAACAGCAGTGCCAGTACTTTTCCTTGGCGTCACGTGCCAGTGCGGTAAAAGACTTTAATGTATACACATATAAATAGATATAGATATATCACAATAGTTATATAATTATATAATTGAGGTTCTGATGCAGCTGTGATGGGAGAGGATCATTCCTCTGAAAATATGGAAAGCTACTCGACTGAACCAATGTCTCTCCTGAGGGTCCTGATGTTGGAGAAGGGCACTCCCAGATGAGATGGGTTTTTTTCCTGTGACGAGTTTTCTTCTTTCCTGTGAAAGTTGCTGTCTCCATAACATGGAACGTTTGGTAAGGGAGCAAAGAGCAGCTTCTTTTGAACTTCCTTTGGTGCTGATATTGTTTTTAAAATTTCTTTCTTCATTTTGCTTTCCCACCAGTGGCCAATAAGCTGCTTTTCCAAAATCTAGACTCACCATCCCAAGGTGGCAAGGGACAGTTTGAGAGTAAGAGACTGACTTTGTGATCTAACACAGACAGTGTTCTCTGTGACCTGTGTCATTCTCCCAGCCTCAGTTTCCCCATCAAAAATGGGTGTCATACTATTTCCTTACCTCATGAGGAAGGGTGACTTCAAAGGACTAATTGGTGGCGCTGAATCATTAAATCATTAATTTGGAGACAGCAACTTGATTTGTTTTCAGATTTTGTTTGTATGTTGCTAAGATTTTAATCTTGGGGTTTAGCTTTGTTTCCCTCTCCTTCTCCATCTCTGTTTTATGCCCTCCCTTTGGCAATACCTTTGAATATTGTTAATGGTCGAGATTCACATAGAGCGTTGGGTAGTGCAAATTTCTCCCAAGGGAACAACATCGATAATACTGTATAAGGTGCTAGAATCAAACCTCATTTTATATACTTTGGTTCTTAGAGAAAAACAAAACATGCAGAATTATTTCTGTGAAGCCTTACTATAGATTGTTATAGCCAATTGTTTATCCAAAAAGTGAGAGAGAATAGAATATAAAGATGCAGAGATTCTGTCTAAAATGTAACTAAAAGATCTTTGTTATTTCCTATATTAATGTAAACTACCACATATATACATATATATATATATATATATATATATATTACATATATATGTGCTTAAGGCAGAAAGAATGGGAAAATGTACAGTGTGCTCATCTTTATTTTAATTTTCACTTGGTTCACAACTTTGAGTGTGTGTGCAAGAGAGCTTTATAGTGGGGATTGGATGAGGGATGCCCGGTGCAATAGAGGAAATTATTCATACTTCCGATTTATTCCACATGTTATGAGAAGTAGGCCAAACAAGAGGAAAGGGAAATAAATTAAAATGTAGATGTGCTTTTAAATGTTCTAAGCATTGATGTTACACTTTGGTGTTGTTTCTTTCTCGTTTGAAGGTTTCTCCACAGCACTGTCAAAATGTCGCTGCCTATAGGATGATAACAAATAATGATGACCTCGAGAAAGTTTTTTTTAAAAAAAGTGTTGTTTTTCTCCTCCCATCTCTTAAAAAATAGTGGCCCTTCCCCAACCAAATTGCGGAGCCTTTTCACAGAAGTTCAATAAGAAAATCGAACCATTTCTGGTGCTTTCTTTCATGCCCTCATCCCCCCACCCCCACCTTTAGTTGCTACTGAAAGCAAGAATCAGAGATGACTTTGGACAAGAAGTGGGGCGAGGATGCAGGAAACGTGTGTTGGTGAATCCAAACTTCGCTGGAACAAGCGGCAAGGGGTCCTCTCAAAGGATAGCTGTGCGCTTCAGGTGTTTAGTACTAGCACCTGTGTGTGTGTGTTTGTGTGTGTGTGTACTGTATATGTTTCAGTGTACGAAATGTCTGGTGGACAGAGAACAAAATACCGCCAACAGAAATGAACAGAAAAAAATATATGAAATGCTATTTTATCAGATGATGCACTTGTTCACCTTGACGAGAAGCCACTGTTTCACAACTATGCAATCTTCCAGATTCTCTCCCCTCCCTCCTTCACCTCAGATCTCCCCACTGTTCTCCACGTCGCTCACAGATTTTTCCTTTGTCCAAGAACCACAATACCCAATCCCTGGTTCAAGGTGAGCATGCTACAGCAATTCTTTTCCCAAATTTAAGAGCTAGCAACAACAAAAGTTTCCCTTTCTTTCATTTGAAACGATTCGATGTGACCCCGTTTGGTTCTGTAAGTGAACTAGTATGTATTGTATGTTTAGGTTACATGTTTACAACTTGTTTTCATTCCTCTGCTTGGTTTGAAATATTTATTTTCTTTATAGAGTCTACTTTTTCTAGTATATGTTTTGGGGATGTATTGACTTAAGGCAAGAAAAAAAAATTTGGCTTAAGTGGAACAATGAGCATGTGACCTCTGGGGTGGGGGTGGGATGACGAGCACCTGCATCCCGGCCCTGAATGAAAGCGTGGCAGGGGGCTGGTGTACTCTGGGAAGGACCCGACCTATTTGGTATTTTTCTTTACTTATTTGTGGTCATCTCTATGGAGTAACCTGTCCCCAGAGGGTCAGCTAGGATCTTCCGCCTTATCTTTCGGCCTACAGCACTCTTCCCAGCTACTCTCCTAGTCTATGCACCACACCCAGTGCCAAATCCCATTTTCCTGCCCTTGCTAATACCCTCCCCCACACCCCGCCAGCCAGTGATGGCACCTTGCCCTCGTGGGGTGAGTGTCTCTGCTTGC